GATTTACAATTTACATACTCTGCCTGCAGCAAAGACTATCAATGAGGCAGCAGTGCTGCCTTAGTGAAAGCATTTTCCACTCACTCTAAGGAGTTGTTTCTCCACTTGCTCAGATACACATTAGAAAAAGAAATTACACACTTATATAATACGCCACAGAAATGCCTAATAATTAGTTAAAAATACAATGAGACACACATAAGCCACCTTTAAACAAACATCTTTGCAAGTCCACATGATGCTTAAATGTGTTGTAATCTCAGGCAGGAGCTGGATTGTTGCCAACAGGACACCAGCATGTTTGCATTTCTGGAGCGGACCAATAAAATTACTTAGTCTGTCACACATAAAAGCATGAGGAAGGGCCTCCGAATAGATACGTGTGCGGGTTTACACTTATCAGTTTGGAAAGATAAGAAAATTAATCCACGTGGATCCATGTCACAGGAGAGGCAGCCAAAGAGTGGAACGAAGAACAAACAAAAGCTAAAGACAAACTGTGTGTACCTAGATAAAGTCTACGTAGAAAAGCACACACACACACACACACACACACACACACACACACACACACACACACACACACACACACACACACACACAGTCCACCTTGTTTTGCAGGTCTCCACCCGTAAGCCCTATTCCAGTGATTCATACAAGTAACTGTGGAGAAGAGATACACCCATACACCGTCACTCTCTGCTGAGTCCACACACAAACAGAGAATTCCCCCCCCCCCCCAAAAAAAAAAAAACAGATTAGAAGAGACAGAAAAACAACCCTTAGTCCAAATGAAGAGACACATATAAGAAACCTTTCTACAAATTAAAAATGAACACATAATTGTATCCACTACGCACAAGTACATACTGTGCAAAGAAGCAAGCACACCCACATCTATGCGGACACCTTGACGCACCTGTTGGACCTCTGCTGCTGTACTCTTAAACAGCTCGATGTATCTTTTTCCCAGGATTTCTTTGTGTTTCCTCAGAGCGCACTGGGCATGTTCCTCACAGGCGAACAAAACAAAGGCATCACCAGTGGGACGCCCGTCCAGGTAGCGAACAAATAAGATGCCATCCTTCCCTCCGCTGACTGGACACATCTCTTTACAACCATCTCCCGAGTTGAAGAAGGCAAGCACCTGCTCGTGTGTAGCGGTGAAAGGAAGACCTCGCATCCTCACTATGATCTGGTCCTCTCGGGACAGGAACATTGCCACCTCATTGGAGGTACCTGGCGCACACACAAGGATGCAGACACGCCAGTTTAACCAAGTTAAAAAAAAAAAAAGAATTATCACAGTGTAGACTTCAAAAGGACAAAGTTGGGTTTTTTTTGCGAGCAACACACTATGATGTTTGGATTAATTTCTCTGGAGTTGTTTGCCCTTCTTGTTCTGTAATTGACAAGATACATACTAAACCTAACTATGGTCACACCTTCCATTTTTATGATCCTTTCAGCACCATGCAGAAAAGATCGTTTCAGTTTTCTGAGATGATTCCAACATTACAAACAGGACAAATGTAATGATGACAATCTATGCATTGTTGACAAGGTTACTGCTGTTCAAATAGAGAAAAATTTATATTTTAAGACTACAAAGCTTTACTCTTTGTTTAGAGATAACTGGACTGATTATTGATATACAGTGTGCACTCAAAAATATTCCTCTTGGAGCAGCACCACTTATCATGGAAATAAATGAATAAAAAAAAAAAAAGGAAAATATACTTTTTGAGGATCCAAAAAGACAAATTCTATCAAATATAGAGTAAATTTATAAAAAATATATTAACTGCCATCTCAAGCAGACATTATATTATGCCACTAATGTTTCATGCTTCTTCTCATGATGGCAGCAGAAATGTTAGCTTCCTTGGATATAATATAAATAGTTCCATTAAAATGGAGATGATGACATGAAGTAGAAACTTATATATGTTGGTTTTGTGTGGGTATGTACAGATATGGCAAATGGAGTTGCGCTTATATAGTGCATTTCTATGCACAAACTCTAAGCAATTTACACTGTATTTGCCAATCATCCCTACACACAACCATTCACACCACATGCAGCTTCAACATGTGAACTAGAGAAGCCAGGAATCAAACCACCAACCCTCTGGTTAGGGGATGACCCACAGCTGCCACATGCATTTGTGAGTAGATGATATGGTAAGGAAAGGCAAGTTGGGTATAGTGGGCCTAGTTTTATTGGCTCACCTCCAGCTATCTTCAGGAAGTCCTCTCCTGTTGCTTTGTAAACCTGCCATTAGAAGGAAAGGAGTTAATGAAGAATTATTACTACTATCATTGGGATATCATTGGGTGTAGGCAACATGGCAACAACTAGCTGACAGTTACCTCTATGTATCTGTTGCCCATATGGTGTTTGTGTCTTTGCAGAGCCAGATCTCTGTGTTCTTCACTGACAAAACGAACAAGAGCTTCTCCGTTCCTCCTCCCTTGAGCATTGAGACACAGTGCAGCCCCTCCTCTATACAACACAATATACACAGTATTACAGCACTCTGTAAACCTTCTGTCAACAGCAGGTTGTAGGGTATTATCAGTATATATAATCTAGCCTTTCATATACCAACAACATACTTGGCAATGTTGAGTCCTCTGAAGAATCGAGCAATGTCCTGGTCAGAAGACTGCCATGGCAACCCTCTGGCTCTGATCACTGTGTTGTCACACACTTTCTCCATCTTACTGCTGCACACAAACACACACAGCAATGTTAGCACAGCAGGAGTGGACTTGTGGTTGATCTCAAGTCACGAAACAAAAAGATTATTTATCTCAAGACACTTACCAAGTGCCAGTCTCAAACTTCTCACTTACTCTCTCTGGGTTAGAAAACATGTGACCTGTAATAGAAAGGTAATGGAGTATGGTTTTCAAAATTAGATAACTGCATTCTGAAGTCATAAATGACAGCACACAAGTGAAACAAATTTTTGTGATTTAAAATCAATATAGTAACTCTCTAAAAGTCACGAGAAAACACAAGATGATAAGATGCAAACAAAGAGATGAGTTTGCTTTTATAGAAATTAAGACAGATGGCGATTTAATTCAGCCCTACGGCATATGATTGTTTTTATTACTCATTTAATTTGCCAGTTCTTTACTCAGTTAACTGATTTATTTTTGGTTCACAACATGTAAGAAAGAAGTGAAAAATTCAACAAAAATGCAGTTTCCTAGAGTTGAAAACAACATATTCAAATGTTTTGTCCAACCTTTAAGTGACAATTAATAAGACATAATACAAAGACATTCACAATCATATAAGCAAAAAGCAGTGAGTCTTTTCTCTGAGAGGCTGGGACTGCCAAATATTTGGCATTTTTGTTTGATAACTGACAAAAACAACCAATCAATTATCATATTATCCACTTCCGAATTTTCTGAAGCAGTTTACTTTCCTGATATTACGCACAGTAGCTTTGCCTATATGTCTAAGTAATTTCTAAAGTTTCACTTTCAGTTTCATAGTGTAAATTCACATGTGATACTCACAAAATGGCTCAGAAAGCAGGGCAAGGACAATGCTGGCCATAATATGAACATGCTGCACTGCTATTTCTGCAGGCAATATGGCTGACGGATCCAGAGCGGCCAAGTGATCCAACATGGCAGGCACATCAATGGGTATTCTAAGTGCTGAGGAGGAGGCAGTCAAGGAACACAGACAAGTAACAGCCAACAAATACAAACAATCTAACAGCTGAGAGGGAACAAAAAGATGTTATTACACATGTGGGTGTCTGAGAGGTAAAATGAAAAGATTCATGTGTGTATGAGAGAAAGAACAAGCAGGCATGAGACACACAGAACAAGATGCTAGTTTTCCTGTTCCAGTGGGTGTGTGGGGTTTGCACTGTTGCCTAAACACACACTCGTTCACTCAGTGCTTAATAAGGTGCTGCTATTGTTTCCCTATTTGCATTTCAAAACCTCTAGTCCTGCAGGCAACACCCCATGTCTTATAAACATCTGTGTTTCAGTGTAATATTTAGTCACATGATCAAGATAAACATAAAGACCAGTAAGCAAACTCATCCAAAAATATAAAAAACATTCCAGAATACCATGAGTTATGTACATACAATATAGCAGTGTTACATGCAAAGTCACTGGCACCTCAAACGTACACAGGTGACATACTGAAGGATACAATCTGCCATGATGTGAACATTCAGTGCCTTGAGGTCAGATGTTGGGAAGTGCTGCCTGAACTCTTTCCGAAGGTCAAAGAAAGAATAGAAACAGTCTGGGACCAGGATGTTCTGCAGAAGGCAGGATTTAAATTAGAGGATGTGAACATGTGGCCCATTGACAGCTGCTATTTTATTCCTATCATACTGCTGTTTGCTCAAGTCAGTGGAGGAGTCTCTGTGTAACAGTTAATACAGTTTTAAGACATGAGAGAATTTCACCAGCTTCATTGTGTGATGGTGTTTTACGTGCACCAGTAAGGTATGTGCACTGGTGTGTTTAATTAGACAGCTTTACATGCCTGGCCCTCAACTTTAACATTAAATTCGAACAGGAGCACAATGCTGACACAGCAGAGACTTGTGAGTGCTGAAGGCTCCTACAGCAGTGAGTGAACACCCACCCTGGTTGCGAACACTCACCTTGTTTGCAGCCTCAGGGTGAATAACTTGACGGATGTGAAGCTGCCCGTCTGTACATAAACACATCGACGTGCCTGCGCCCACACTGTTCATCTCGTTTGTCAGTTGTAGATGAAACTACAAATAGAGGCACCAAATGTCTAGAAACATTACTAATATAGCCCCAGGCATCTTGAACAGCAGTGTATTGATAAGTAGCTAATATGTAATAAAAAGGCTCAAGATAAATTTAAACACTTATTTCAAGTGCTTTTGGAGACATTATTACCTGGTTTAAAGCCATCTCAAGACTTGTGGCTGTAAAGACACAGTCTGCTCCAGATCCATTCTCCTCTTCAACACTCTCCTCCACCACATCCTCCTCCTTTTTCTCCTCAGTCAAGTCTGAGAGGTCAGGCTTAATGAGGAGCTCATTCACCTTGCCTAACTGGTTCCCAGAAGAAAAAAAAAGCTGTCTTAAAACAGCACTTTACATAGAACTCACCGGCTCAAGGCCAATTAAATGGCACTAAAATACATGGTTATTACATGTAATGATACTGAAGAGCAACAAAAGTAAGAGTCTGTTTATGTATATTGCAGTCTATGAATCATTAGGAAAAGATATCTTCTCATTTGACTGGATAACTTCAGAGCTATAATCAACTCATAGGTGTTTGTTGAACAAATAGAGGAAACCTATAACAAGTCAAATGAAATTCCATTTTATTTACGAATTAAAAGGCTATAGATATAAACAATATTATTCATGGATGACGTTTGTATTTTTCTGTTTCCGATAAGAGTTCAGTTCGCCTCCTCGGCCCTTTATATATTACCACATTTCCTGCTTTAGTTGACGACAATTGGCGATAATAATTTGTTTAGTAATAAGTTTTTACCTTTTTGTTCTTTACATCCACCAGCTGCCAAACCACCTGCACGAACTCCTTCTCGTCGGATCCCAGCAGCTCTCCGCTCGCGCCAGATGTGGCGGTGAAAATCACCACCAGGTAATCTACCTGCGCCGTCATCTGTACACGAACACAGCTAAAAAACTAATCTAATACTAGAGAAAACTAAAGGTCGGTAATTACAGGTACGCCGGAGAGGTGACACGCGGGCGGCGAGAGGTATCAACACCTTTAATTTGATACCTGAGCGCAAGGGTGAGCTCCGTAAATCCAGGTTTTGTCGCGTGTGAATTTCTATGTGAAGCCTCCCGCAGTCATCATCTCGGCATAATGGCTGAACGTTCCCCGTTTTTGTAGTGCATCTACCTGTGAGGCCACGTGATCATCTACCTGCCTCCTCCCTCCTTCAGGTGCTTTATAGATTAGGACGTGGCAGACCATGGAGGACAAAGAATATATCATTTATAATATTTTAAAAACAATATATGTGTTTGTATTCACAGGGCTCGGCACCCCTAGTTGAATAATTAGGGCATACAAAAAATCAAACATAGGCCTCACCTCCTCTTTTTTTATTTAACATTTTTTGTTTTTCGTTTGTTTTTTACACATACTCATTTTGGATTTTTGATATTTACACAAATTAAAATAGGCCAAATAATAATACGAATTTTAAGTTTAAAGTATATCTAAAACAAAGGCTGCTCAACAGTGATATAACAATATTGTATTTTCCCCTTAAATATATAAAAATACGGCAAGATCATGAAATACACGCAAAAATATTTCTTTTTCGTTTAAAAAAAATACACAAAGAGTCTGCAGTTTAGGCTGCTATTGGAATAATTTTTTAATTCTTTTTTTTACATTGCTTAATTGAGAAAAATTCTTTAACTTTAACCAGCAGTTGTTGCATATAGTTTTGTAGATACAGATATTAATATTAGCTTATATTATATATTCTTTGATTGATATAAATGTTGATGATATATAGCCTATAAACAACACACGTGTTTATCAGGTTATTTTTCTGTAAATTTGTTTGTTCATATCTACACCATATATGTTAGTCTGCACATGTTATGCTGATGTCTATATGTCCCGGAAGTAGTCACTGTCCCGGAAGTTTTCTCCTGGCTTTACCGACAGCGAGAAATGATGGCGGGGGATTCTTCAACCGAGCTTCTTTTTCTAGACACGTTTAAGCACCAGAGTGCAGAGGTAATGTTTCTGAGCTCTCAACACACTCTTCTATAATAGCTTCAAGCCTTCCTGTATTCAAAACACATGTCGGTTTTAGTAAGGAGTTTTGGAGAATGGTGCTCAACTTCTAAGCTAACAGTGTTAACTTGGCTAACGTTAGAAGTGGAAACCTTGTTACTGTGATAACGCACTAATTCACAGCTTTCATTGAATTGTATACTTGCTAGTTGTACACTTCATTGCATCAAATATGGCCGTTGAGTGTGACATTGTTTGCATTATCCTGCAACTTAACACCATGCATCCAGTTTGTTTGCTAGTTAGCCGTGTGGGTAATGCTAACATTAAAGTCTCAATCTGACCGTAGTTACCTTAGAGCGGGCAGCAAAGTGACTGATTAGTGGTGTGATTAGTTAAGTAAGACATTGTAGTATCTAAATGTTTGTAATAATTATAATGTTCATTGCCCTTCAGTTAACCAACGTGGATGTGGTGCGGTTTCCTTGCGGGGTGCTGATCACAGAGGTACGAGTCATTCCTCCAGGGATCAAAGCGCACAGCAACCTACCTGACAACAGAGCATTTGGGTAAGAGTTGTAATGCGTTTACAGAAAACAAAACACACGCCTCTAGCTGGCAACTTATTGGGTACACTTTTAGATTAATGCAGCCCAATCTAATAGCAGTAAATCCGCTGAAGCGGTTTTAGAGAGGCCTTGTTCCAACTTTACGGTCATACTTTTTTGTTTGTTGAATTATATTATGTCATACTGAGTTTTGTTTCTAATGATTTGTCCATTCCATTTATATTAACAGAGTATCAACTATTATTTAGGTCAAGCCTTACCTAATAAACTAGCAACTGAATTTACAGTTCTGTGGAACATTTGGCTCTTAAAGACTTCATGGCTCTGGCTTATTGTCATGCTGCAGATTAAACTTGGGACTGATCAGATGTCTCTGTCTTGATGGTATTACACGAGGGCTAAGAATCTAAAGTGCCTAAAACTTGCACAGAACTGTAGATACAACTAGGAATGCACCAGTCTGATTTGCTGGATCAGTATCAGTGTTGAACTTTCTGATTCACAATTATAAAATTCCATGTAGCATTTATTTTCATTCATGGTGGGGTGCTCTTTTAGTGCCACGGTATTACCTGGCCTCATGTTACTGTATTACTACATTAAATAGGACTACTATGTCTATATCAGATTTCGAGTTTGGGAAAAAGACCACTGGTATCCAATCTGTTCTCTATGTCAGCAGATGCACTGAGACCAGGTGTAAAAGGCTGTGTTCACATTACACGGCTTAATGCTCAATTTAGATCTTTTTGTCAAATCTGATGCATTGATGGTTCACATTCATGTTTGCAAATGACATGTGTCCAGCTCTGACGTGAACAACACTGAGGTCCTAAACTGCTAGGCATGTGAATATTTAGCTGAAATGTGAGTCGTGTGTAAAAAGAATAACAACAGTGTAATTTGTGCCACAGTCAAATTGCCTAATTCCTATTTGGTTATGACATGTTCCTTCCACTTTGGCTTGATCAGAAGCTTCTCCATAAATGTCCAAGAAGTTTGAAACTTCCTCGTCTCTGCTTTTAATTGGCCTGTGAGACACTGGCCCACATGGAATGATGACAACAGGCAATATGCACATGCGCAGAGGAGTGAGAAATTAAGAAAACCACATGAATTCCAAACTGACCGATCTGGTCATGTGGTCAAATATCGGATGTGAATGGGATCTAGGACCATGTATGGAAGTGGCCTGGACTGGATTTTAAAAAAAAATCTGATTTGGTTTGTTCATAGATCTGTGAAACGATCAGACCTGAGTAACTTGGAGGGGTAAAAAAAAAAAAAAGAAAAATCAAAATTGGGGCACTTCAATAGGTAATGTGAACATAGCTAGAGTTGTATTGGGAGCTGTTGGATTGTTGCATCATTAGTGACAGGAAATCCTTAACCCCATTGTTAATAGTATAATGCCTCTGGATATGTTTGTTTGCCACAGATACCTGAGATGTATATGTGTGTCTGTAGGAAATGAGACATCCATAGAGAGAGAGTGAGTGTGTGGTTGTGTGTTTGACACCTGAGCTCTATTGTTGAGTGGATTCTGATTGTCATTATGCCTGGTGGGTAATATATGATGTAATTTTTTTTAACAGTGTACAAAACTGAGCGGGTCAGGCTTCTGTGTTCTGTTGATACAGATCTGAGCAATTTAGGTATACATTACTTTATACTGTCATATCATTGTGTACATACGTATATTTACTAGAAAATCAGTTCAGAAACTGATTAAGGATAATATCTGTTTTGGCCAGTTCAGCAAATGAAATACTTAAGTCTTCATCTGATTGATTTGCAACTTTGCCTATAATGGAGCAATAGATTGCAGTAGGCATGATGATGTTTTTGTAGGCCAAATGCGATGTTCACCAGTGAAGATTATCTTGCTGAACAGAAGTTGTGTTATAAACCAACTTCCAGGTTGGCCTACAAAAGTATGTCATTACAATGATTGAGGATAATAAGGATGGCGGGGGAGTCTTCAACTGTATATGTAAAATATGTAAAATGATACAGTATCTTTCACGGCATAACAGTGTTGTTGGTTGAAAAATTGATATAGTCACACTATGTGATTGGTGTCCACTTTATTAGGTACATGTGTATAGTCTAATGCAGTCCAATACAGCTGTTCTGCCATAAAATCTATTTTTATTATATCTATAATGTTCAGATTTTGTTGACACTGGCATAGAGATGTTAATAAAATTGTGTTTTAGCATTTAGGTCACAGTTAGTGATGTGTTTATATGATGTTTTGTAATATTATTCCCCTTATATAAGTTGGTAGGGAAAAAATTAGAAGCATTCTCAGTGTAGGTCAGTGCAATAACAGTAACTACGACCTCAACAGTGAACATATGATTGAATTTACACATTTCAGAAAACACAAACTGAACATGATAGTTTATGGAGGTAGAATTTATAGTAGAATCTGTATGTTTGATTGAATTGGAATAGAATGTACAGATGTACCTAATAAAATGGTCGCTGAGTATATATTGTAACACTGCCTAATCCCTAAAATTTCTGGGAGCTGCATTCTGACTGTCTCATTACTGTGTGTGTGCTTCCAGAGAGACGTCTCCTCATGCCTTCCAGCTGGAGCTGTTCTTCAATAATGTCACTAAACCCAACAGCCCCACCTTCCACAGACTGGGCAGGTCAGAATTATTTTCACCCACACCTCTTCCTCTCCACTTCTAGTTTTGTTTCTGTTCTCATCTGAGCCTCTCCTTAATCTCCACCTCTGTATTTCTTAGTCAGACCTCAAAAGATTTTAAGTCTGTCTCACCTGTAGAACCAGTCATGGTAGCATCTCAGCCCTGTTCTCAGAGGCTACAGGTGTGTGTGTGTGTGTGTGTGTGTGTGTTTATATACCCACCCATATTCAGTTTTCTTTGTCCCTATGCTGGCTGGTTAACTGGTCTCTCCGGAAACTCAATCCCACCCACACAGTAGCTGCACGTGACACAAACACTTAGAGGTCCCACTGAAATCATTGAGCAGTGAATGTCAGTCAAGCATTTTTATTCTAGCCTCTCATCCATTGTGTACAGGTTGTTCAAAACTTTAACTATGACACACCCAAGTTATTATGTCTGCTGGAAAGGATGAGTGGAGATTCTTTTAAAACTGGTCTGATTGCTATCAAAATGTTTCTCAAGTAAAAAAGCTGAAATATTTTTGTATTTGCTGTTTTACCACAGGTTGGATACAGTGTACATGTACACAAATTTCATGTTTAGCCATTAATTCCCTTATTGTGTACTATTTGTCAGAGATTTGGGTGTAGTTTTCTCTTCTGATCGGCACAGAATCTGAAATCTCTGAGTGATCAGCCCATCACCAGTCAAGGTTGAGCACACTGAACAGTGGCTGTTTCAGATCTCTGTTGATCAATCTGTGAAAGTCTAGTTAGTTGGGTGTCATTTTACAAAGGCATTTGTCCAGATAGGAAGCCAGGATATTACAGTGACATGTTGTGAGATTACAACAAGTGGTTCTCATCCTAATTGATTTATGACTTCTTAAAACAATGCTATGTTTTTAGACCACATGCATGTCAGCATACGGGCCAGTTCAACCAAAGACTTCCATCTCTATAAATTATCGAAATAAAACAATCTCACTTCTGAAGAGGTAAAATTGCAGAATAATTAGCAAGAAAAGAAGCCAAAATTCTGTGTATCAGAAATGTTTTTTTCTGCTCACATTTCCTGTTGATCATCTTTTGACCCCTCTGTTTTTTCATACATCCTGCATGTTAGAAACCATTGCCTTATTGCAAGATACTGGTGTGCTTTGTAAAAGGAGGCTCATGCCGCTTATTAGACATTGGAGAGCTGACAAGAACTGAGAGGCAGCTGTAGAGCATGATGACCTACAGTAGTGCATTTTTCAGCATAGTTAGACAACAATTATGTACTTGTTGGAACGAGTACTTAACAGATGAGTGCTAAAATATGCTATTTTCTAAAATAAATCTGTAAGACTAATGATAAACACATAAGTCCAAGAATAGTTCAGAGTTGGATTATATCTGCAGTCATCTTTTAATGTGCTTTTCTTGCTTTCTGCCCTCAGTCTGGAATATGATGAGAATAAATCCATCGTGTTCAGACCCAGTGGAAAGGTAAATGTCCACAGGCAAAGCAATTTTTTTTTTTTTACAGTCCTGTTATTTTGTGAATAACTACATGTGTTTATGTGTGCAGATCAATACAGATGGCCTGGTGCTGCGTGGCTGGTACACCAGTCTGACTGTTGCAGTGTACGGGACAGCAGAGCGTCCACATAGCCATGATCATGACTCGCCCCCTCCTCCGCCACCTCCGCCCCCTCAACAGCCAAGTGGACTAAAGAGGATCGTTAAACAAGGTGGATATTCCTTAGGTCGGCCTTACACCTCTGACTTTTCAAGCGTTTTCTTGTGGCAGACAAATTTCCAACGTCTGTTTGACGCGTCATCCAGTTTGTACCTTGACAGAGTGAAGAAAGAGAAAAGGTGAACAGACAGCACTGCCCCTTTCAGTCAAACAGGGTCATGTCCACATTCTGTGGTGATTTCTCTTTTTCTTTTTGGCAGGTTTTTCCCAGGAATAACATGCAGACAAGTGCAGCTGTAGCCAAGCGCAGGAGCATATGGGAAATAGTCTCAAGAGAAATCTAGTTGCACTGCACAATCCCCAGTCTTGGCAAAATCAGTCTATGACTAAAAACTCTGACTAATGACACATTGTCTTTAAATGTGAGACTTTAGTCTTAAAAGTCAGTTTTGAGTCTTATCATATTCTTCCAGTGTTAGGCCAGCTTAGGCTGCAACTGCCCAACGCTCTCACCTTGACATCCACTTCCTGAACATGAAATGTCCCGTTAATAGGTTGGCTTGTATTTTCCCAGATTTGCTTGTGGTATCTTAAACCAGCTTCACTCTTTGTCTTTTTAAGAATGGGAAAAAGATAGCCAGTACAATGGCAGCCCACCCAGGCCAGCACCCAGAGGGCCTCGCACTCCACCTGGACCTCCACCCCCGGATGATGATGAGGAGGAGGAGCAGCAAGTCCAAGCGATGGGTCAGAGCTGTACGTCTATTCTGTGCTATCACATTATACAAGCCACTGTTAGGTCAAGAGTTATCAGCAGTGACAGAGGTGCTGCTTTAGTTTGTTAAATCTGATTACTCTGCAGTTTCTAAATATTACTTTGTATGTTTGAGACCACTTGCTATGGATGCCTAAGGTTATTTTTCAGTACAGGAGGAAAATGAATGCGAGTTGAGCCTTGTGTGATGTAATCCATCAGTAAAAGTTTTATGCTTTGTTTGGCATTGATGTAAAGTATAAGCACTGTACTATGAACAGGTTAAAACATGTAATACACCATAATGATTCTTAAAATGTTTGTAGATAAATACTTAGTTTTATGTTTATATGTGTCCCGTGGATATATTGGTTAAACTGTGTGATCCCCGGTCTGTGTTGTGACATCGACAGTGGGCGTGGTCAAAGTTGAACAATGTGAGGGCCGTGACGACTACCTGGAGGCCGTGTCACCAGAGAGGTCTCTACCTGCTGATGAAACATACTCTGATGCTGAACAAGAGGAAGAGGCTGAAGAGGAGGAGGAAGAGGAGGAGCAGGAGGGGGAAGAAGATGTGCGGACGGAGGGGAGCGTTGCAGAGGAGGAGGAGGAGGAAGAAGAGGAAGAAGATGAGGGTGAGGACGAGGAAGAGGAGATGGAGGAAGGTAGGGGAGTTGTTATGTGAGAGCGGGATAGGCTACAGTCCCAAATGGACGCTCATCTCTGAACCCCTTGGCGCTGCAGACTCTTCAGACTTCCCAGGGGGCCATAGGAGAAGGGTCCATTTGGGACTGAGTATGTGCGCTCTGGCATGCTGCCTCCATCTACAAGCGCTGGATGATCCAGACTCTCAACTTGCCCACTCTGGAGTGCTCTGAAGGCTTATGATCAACATTCATAAGCTGTCATGTGCGGCTCTACCGTCATGGCTGAGCTTGTGCTATAGGGACATCCTGCATGTCAAACTAACCCTGCATGTTTGGAGTGATGCTGCTGTGTGAGCAGGTTTGTCACTGTATGCATTTGTGAACAAGTAAGGGAATATACAGTAGTTGCTGGTCTCCTCATTCTCATCAGTTCTCACACACTTTTTTATGACCCAGATAATGTTTAAAGCATTTTAGGAATTTCTCTGCAGTAGGTAAACTCTGTCAAAATGTATCTCCCAACCTGCTAGGTGATGATGATGGTTATGAGCAGATTTCCAGCGATGAGGACGACCTGGATAATGGTAACTTCAAATTGCCCACCTTCGACATGGACTACACTCCTGAGGACCTTGCATTTGTCCCGCCTGTCCAGTATGACCCCTATGAACGAGAACTCAGACCCCTGCTCTACTTCATCCCGCCATACAAGACTCGTTTTGATACCCAGTTTGAGAAGGCCAGTATCGAGGAGCCCAGAGATGCTGGTGGCACAGAAGGACCTGCAGGTGGAGAGGAGGCTGAAGCTGTTAACCAACTGAAAGAGCTACTAGCTAGTATTGGTGATGACAGAGATGGCCGCTGGGTCACTGGGCTGGAAGAGGCACCTGCGCTACTGGCCAAAGGGTTGGCTTGTTTAATTAAAGAAGGAGAGGGAGAGATTGAGGATCCTATTGGGGTTTTAGTCCAGTGGGCTCTCCAAGCTCTGAGTATGGAGGTTGCTCTCACACAACCCATTGCTCTTAACCTTAGACAGCTGAAAGCTGGTGCTAAGCTGGCATCATACCTGGCAGAGTGCCCACAAGGGCTCACAGTGCTACTGCGTGAAGGCGCTCTGGGTGTGCTATTGGAGCTTCTCCACACGGACCATGTGTCCTCCACACTGAAGCTGAGCATCCTGAGAGCTCTGGATGCTCTAACCAGTGCTCCAGCTGGGGTGGAGGCTTTCCTACATACAGGAGAGTCAGAGATGAGTGGCTATCAGGTTAGCAACACAAGTATACAAACATGAAAATCTCTTTGACACCTTTTCATTTTTCCAGGTTGGAAATTTCCACTGGTGCTAGAAGATCAAAAATTCTGTGAATATTCTTGACCTGTGATTTGTGTTTCCACTGGAAAGTATAAAGGCAAATGAGACAGAATCTATCATTTATGATCCAAATGAGAGCCAGGCTTTCAGTGTACAGTAGTACTGTTACGATCCTGTTATTGACCCAGAAGGTGAACTGCCACACCACCACTAGCAGTATAAAGTGCTTTTGTCTCATGAAAATCTGAAACTGAGCTTTATGCCCTTCACAGCATCTAGTCCAGCTGTTCCTGCATGAAGAAACAGTCAGGGTCATAACAGCTGGAAATGCCATATTACAGAAAAGCCACATGTATGAAGTGCTTGTCAACCTACAGCGTGCGGCAACAGCATGCAGTGAGCCGCAGCAGGTATTCATACACACACACACACACACACACACACACACGCACACGAGGTCTAATTTCAAAGACCACTTGTAATTTTGTGATAATTGTGGCTGACCATCTTCCACAGGAGGAGATGGAGGATGCGGAGAGTCCCATGGAGGAGGAACCATCACTAAGCTTCCCTTCTGTGAGCGAGGCAGAGCTTGATAGGCTGGCAGAGGTTCTGGAAGAGTTACATCACCTGCTGGAGACCGCCCCTCACTGCATGGTGCAGCCGCCTGGGAAAGCCTTCCCCACTACTGCTAGAATAACAGGACCGCAAGAGAGGGATGATCCATACCCATCATTGTATAGGTACAGGCTCAGACACACATGACCTCAAGCCTCACACAGTGTAGACATTGAAGCATAAAGTCCAGTCCAGTTGTGACTCATTGATTAGATGTTTAATATTGCACTATCTCCTTTCTCAGGTATATGCATGCATGCCGTTTCCTGGAGAGCACAACAGTGGCACTGTCAGCAGCTGCGGCAGCTGGACACTTAGGTGTCACCCAAGCAGTTAGAGAGCTCCTGCGCTTCCTGTCGCTCACTCAGTCAGGTCTGCTCTTCCTTCTCGCCCAGCCCACTCCCACTAACTTGCTGCTGCGTCTCCTGGCATCAATGGCAGAAACTGAGGGCGAGGAGAGCACGTTTACAGGAGGAGAGGGAGCTCTCACAGGGCCAGTGTATGGTGAAGAGGGCTTCGGCGTGTGGCTAATGCAGGCACTGCATGCTCTACAGAGTGTGTCAGAGCTCATGAGCCATGTGTCCACAGGAGGAGATGGAGGAGCCGGGCTGGAGGAAGGTGACAACCCGGACGTACTGAGCATGCTCCATGCACTCTACCTGATGACCTTTACACAGACTGGTCGCAGTGCTGTGGCCCATGTCTTTAGCCTGGACAGTAACTTGTCCTGTCTGGTCACCCTGCTCCAGCACTACAGCAAGGATATACAGGGGTACAGTTCTCTTCTTCCCCTCTTTTATTTTCTGCATAACCTAGTTTTATTTCATGCAACTGTGTGTTGGTTTTTGAGCATGTTTTCCTTTTTCTGTCTTCTTTTCTTGTAGAGAGTCCAAGGCTCGCAAACCAGTGACGTATAATTATGCCTGTATGCTGGTGCTACTGGTCGTGCAGACCAGCAATGAACTGCGAATGATGGAACAATATGCTGCTCCACTCCTAATCTTAGCTAAGGCTGACGACACAAATGCTAAGTTGCAGGGTAAATATTACCTGTTTAGCACTCATGTATCATGTCATAAGAGAAGGTTTTAGTATGAATGTGTATGTGCTTTTGTTCTCTAGAGCTCAGTAAATGGCTGGAGCCTCTGGAGAAACTTCGCTTTGAGATAGGCAGCATTCCAACCCTCATAGACTACATCAAACAGGTACAGATCTGTTGCTCACTGAATGATTCAGGTCTCACATCTTACTCTGACCAACTGGGGCTGCCCTGTCAGTGTGCAGTTTAATCATTTTTATTCAACTATTATCTATAGAGCTGCTTCAATATTATCATAGGAAAACAGTGTTTTCAGTGCTGTAACCAGGTCAGTTGGCAATGTAGCTTATAGTTCTGAAACCTACATAAGAATGCAGTCTTGATACACAGCCAAAGAAATAAATGTCTTTATGTCACGCTAAACCTTAGGGCCACCAGATAGACATCTGCTTGGAATGTGGCACACCACTGACAAGTCTGAACTGCTCAAGCATATATGTTGCATATGTGAGATTATGTGCAAATAAAGAACGCTCTATATCTGTTTAAATGTGTTTCCTCAGAATCTGGAGAATGTGTTGGCTGCTGAGGGAAGTGGACTGGTCACTGCTCTTAGGGTCCTCTGTCACATTGCCTGCCCCCCACCTGCCGTAGAAGGTAATGACACTAAGTGTTTATTAAGCCAAAATGCCAAATACTTTTTAAAATATTGTAACTACAGTAGATTTCTTTAAAGGTTTTAATTTCAGTTTTAATACAATGTTAGAATAAAAAAACAGTGAATTAAGGAAATACAACTTTGCAAGAAGGATTCTTGTCTGCCCTGCTGTTGCCCCTTTGAACTGCACCTTGTGTGTAGCTGAGCTCTGAACTCGGTCAAAACGGCAGACACACAACATATTATGACGGTCAAAATGTCGGGTTCACAATATCTTCCTCCTTGCTGCAGGTCAGCAGAGGGACCTAAAGTGGAGTCTTGCAGGGGTCCAGCTGTTCTCAGGCGAGGGTCTGGATACATGTGTGCGTGTCCTGCAGAAGCTGTGCACTGTGTTGCTTCAGCCATGGCGTGTGCACGGACACATGGGCCCCACGCCACAGCGTTGCATGATCCTCAGTATATGCATCAGCACGCTCAGGTTGTTGCGCACCATGCTGACAGAGCTGCTCCGTGGAGGAGCTTTCCAGTTCAGGGACACTCGTGTGGCCAGTGTGTTGGTGTCACTCCACATGATAGTGTGCTCCATCCCTACATCTGGACGTCTGGACGGAGAGGAGACCAGAGTGCAGGCGCTTATCGTTGATGTTTTACTCACCTTCACACAGGGTGTCAATGAAGAGGTGTGTGAATGAGTGAGGATGAAAGCATGTTTGTTTAGCCAATAAATATTTACCACTTAGTGTCATTAATTGTCCTTTTTCTGAGACAGTGTGTGTGTGTTTGCTGCAGGTGACTCATACAGAAGAGTCTCTTGCCAGTAACACGTGGTCCCTGATGCTAAAGGAAGTTTTGGGCTCACTGCTGAAAGCTCCTGAAGGTCTGTTCTCTGGCCTGACACTGCTGTCTGAGCTCCTGCCTCTTCCACTGCCAATGCAGAGCACTCAGGTACTTTCACTTAATCTCACTGCTCATCTAGCTACTCTATATTTTGTTTCACCTTGCGAAAATCATTGTATTGGCAAACATATTGACATACTGTTGTCTCCATAGGTGGTCTCAGTCCAAGATGTGGCTGTAGCCTTAAATACAAGGAAGCTGTGGAGCATGCACATACGGGCACAATGGAAAGTGTTTTCTGAGGCACTGAGGTGTGTATGTGCCACTAGCTGCCCTCCTCTCCTAGCAATGCTGAGGAGAGTGTGTGTTCAGCTGGCAGACTTGTCTTCACCCAGTGCAACACTTATAATGAAGACCCTGGTGGAGCTCCTGCTGGAGGAGCTGCAGCCGTGAGTGCAGGACGCTTAAACACTCAGTTATTTGTGTTTATGCTGTAGAGTGTATTTAACTGTGAATAATGTGTGATAACTGCAGTGCCGAGGGGAAGAGTGTGTGCTGGGGCCAGGTCTTGCGTCTGCTTTCTTTGATGGATGCCCTGGTGTCACAGAGAGCCTGTAAGAGTGCAACGTTACACCTCCTGTCTGGGTCTGTGTCTGGAGATGAACAACTGGCCGATCTGTTCCCGTTGCTTCTGTCACTGTTGGTTCCTCCAGCTGACCACTCCTTACAACAGCAGCAATGTAGTGAACTTGTGGGGACAATATTACAGTCACTGTGTGACCAGGTTAAGTACTATGAAGGCAAACAACACATGCAAACGGGTGCTTATAGGGAGTTGAATAGAGCTTACAATGTTAATCTCACTCTTCACCAGGACATTTCTCTGGTGGTCTCTCCACCTGGTGAAAGCTGCGTGTCAGAGGCTGAGCAGCTGGCCAATGCACTTCCGGGGCGAGAGATGATGTCATCAGTGTGCAGCGCCTTGTTGGAGGTTTTGGGGAATGCAGAGAGTAGCCTCTCACTCCCCCTCACTTGTATCAGGACTTTAACATTCTTGACAGAGCATGATTATGGACTCTACCACCTCAAAGTGTAAACAATGCTCTCTTCTTCTTTATAGTCATAATGCCCTTTTCTGAGTCAAACAGGACCCTAATTTCACATCATCTTTGTTGTAGTGCTCTGAAGAAACATGGAGCGAGTCTGTGCTCGCTGCTAAAGAGGCTTGTGTGTCCATTCAACAAGGACTCAGCAGATCTGCTCTCAGCTCTGCTTGACTTCCTCAGACAAATTCTCAATACAGAAACGGTGGTAAGTACCTGATTTTATGGCTGGTTCTTATTTTACATGAAAGTAAATGTGGGCTTACCTGCTGCTGAAGTAACTACAGAGGTTAGACCTTAGAGGTTTGTAATGGCAGGTTTTTCACATTTTCATATTTAGAGTAATCATAAGAAAGTGCTACAAGATGAAATCCTAAGCATTTGGGAGTTGTGTCTAAATGACTAATTGTGCATAAGGAAAAAACAAAATACTTGACTGCATAGAATACGTGATCTGTCTGTTTTAATGCAGTGTGTTGAGGAGGGTCATGGATCCACCGAGGAGCCTGCCTTCAATGCTCCTCCACGGTTGTTGTCGGGTTCTGAGATGAAAGCTCTGCTACAGTGGGAGGAGTCTGAGTCACACCCGCTCCCTACGTTAGAGAAACAAATTACGGTACAAAACATATAACGTACGGTTTGTACAAAGTAAAGGCCGATGCTGTCTTTGTACTTAACTAACACTATGTATGTGTTGTTTCTGTGTGGGTGGACATTTGTAGAAGCTATGTAAAGAAGATGATTCACTGGAAACCATGTTGGAGAATGTGATTGTTCTGAGGCAGACACTAGAAACGGCCACAGATACGCCTCCTGCAACTGAAACAGAGCCCACTTTGCCAGCACCCGAGACACTTGGGGCCCAATTTAATCATAGGTACTGGTCTGAGTGGTTCAAACTGTCATGGTTTAAGAGACTTATTTTATCCATTTATTTTTTTATAAATACATTATTTCCTGTGCACTGTTATTTGAAGGTCAGTGTTCATTCTGTCAGAAGCTCTGGATGAGCAGCTGAAGGCTCTGTGGTTCTCTCCCTTCCAAACTGATGACATAGAAACAGACCTTGATACGGTAAGTGTGTGTGCATGCACACAAGACCAACAAACAAAGTGCGCTAGGGATCCAAATTTTACTTTTTAAATTGTAGTCTTGTATTTTTTTTGCCAAATATCTTTATCATAATTATTGATCTTTATTTTTGTCTCTTGTGGGAGCTTTTTTGGACCGATTACTTAAAGTAGAATAAAAAAATACCATGAACAATTGAGTGTTAATGGTTTGGAAAAATATGAACTTTGGAAACATGATCATCTACAGTTATAGTCCTGTGTCTGTCTGCCTGTTTGTATTTTGGTGTACAGTTTTTTTTTGTGATTACAATTTTCTTTGTGTGGCAGGTGAAAGTGGATTTGGTTGGTTTGGCTCAGGAGTGTTGTCCAGAACTGGACCTGAAGGCAGAGCTGGAGCGCTCCTTCCTGTCTGAGCCCTCCTCTCCTGGTCACACCAAGACTCCAAAAGGCTTCCGACTGGGAAAGCACAAGCATGAGACATTCATTACATCAAGGTACAGTTTCAGTATTGAATTTTTTTTTCCCCCCACAAAATTAACATCTTGAATCTTGTTTTAATCGTCTTCTACATGTCTCTGCAGCGGTAAATCAGACTACGTGGAACCTGCTAAGAGAGCCCACATCATGGCTGCTCCACGTGGCCGTGGAGGCCGAGGAGGATTTGGACAGAATCTCACCCGACCTCATGATATCTTCCGTCAACGCAAACAGAACACTTCCCGTCCTCCAAGTATGCATGTGGATGACTTTGTCGCAGCAGAATTTAAAGACATTACAACCCCTCTTGGACTTTTGCCCCCTAAACGGCCTCCTAAAAGTTCCCCCAAACCGCCCACCAGAGGACTGTTCACTGGCAACAGAGGCAGAGGCACCTTCCACAGCCAGACTCGCTTTTTCACTCCACCACAACCTAAAGGTGTACTGCTGTCTGGTAGGTACACAGCAGATATGCATGTCCGCTCACAGACGCACACAGTGCTCTCTGCCATGATCAAATTGTACAGGTTTCCAAAAATTGCTCAGAATTTCCCGGAGAACCATTCTTCCATAACGTAGCTCAGCTGTGTGATAGTTTGAGTGATAGTACAGAAAACAAAAATAATCATGGTAGGTTTGGAGGTAGTTTTATTTTAAAATTTGCAGTTTGACCAGTGTCCACCTTTCATCATTTTGTGTCATTGATAAATGTACCACGTCATCACTTCTATAATAATTGCCACAAAAATAGACTATAAAGATTAGTACACAGTCTGTTTGTATACCAGAGCATTCTTGACCTTTGAAACAGTAGTTTGACTATTACATTTTAAGTCAAGATCCTATTAGCTTTTTTCAATCTTTCAGCCCAAACTCATGGTCTTCATCAGCAGTAGGTCTTTGCTCATGATGTGAATGTAGCTCAGTTGTCATCTTGTTATAAAAAGCTCCACTAGGTCATGTTATGACAATTGATCACACTCCATTCAATGAAGGTTGTGGTGAAAGCTCTGGAAAAAAACATAAGTGGACCTTGAGTTAACATTCTTTTGGCAGACTATTAGTATAATTGTACAATGGTAGTATTTGGTGCTGAAGGTCGAGACCACTTGTTGGCCACTAGAGGGTGACAGATCAATTCTTTTTGGTTTTGTAGGCAACTACACTCGCAGAGAAGGAGGCCGTGGTTCATCATGGAGCGGCCAAGTTCCAGCTGTCACTCACAGAGGAACCTACAGCGAACCGCGCGGAGGCCAGAGCAACTTCACACGTGGACCGCTGCCCTCCAGACAACCCCCAGCAAGTATGAAGTGCACACATGTTCTCACTTTTGTCTTGATTTTATATTAGGAAGTTCTAAATACTGAACTTAAAAATATGGTGGTTTTGTTTCGTCTTTCCCAGGTGCGTATCGTCTGGCTCCACGAGACCGAGCTCTGCGGGGAAGAGGAGGCATCGGGCTGTCGTGGCTTAGCGG